GGGGAGGAGGTCACACTTCATGTCTGAAAGCTGAACAGACAGCTGGAGGTACAGGAAGTGAGAACTTCAGGCACCGGAAACTGTGTGACCCAGCATGACCTACCTGTTTGGAGCGCTGCCAGTGACATGGCATGACTAGAGTGTGGCCTGAGGAGGGGATGGAGGTGAGGGAGGAAATGGCGCCTGGAGCCAATGTGTGCACCAGACACAAGGGACTTCATAGAGATAAACAACGCATTATGGAAGCAGGGGGAAGGTGGCTCGGCCCAGAGGGCTTCCAGAAGTCTTGAACCTGAGTCCAGTCCAGTCTTGCGGTTCTGTTAGGGTTGCAGTTGTACAGGGTGGATATTCCCATGCCACCCCAGCTGTCAAGTATTATGGGAATGGCCACTATTCAAGAGGGGTGGGTGAGTGCAGGTTTCCCAGACAGAGCAGGTGTGATGGGCTTCGCAGAAGATAGAAAGGCAACCAGTGCTGGCAGAGCTGGGAATTCCAGGGGGGATGAGGGGCCTGGGAGTTGAGGGGTCAGGTCCTGAAAGGCCTTCTACGGCAGGCAGGCATGCCGGCAATTGCAGTGGACCCCGCAGGCCTTTGGAGGACAGCAAGAGGTGGACCCAGACTGGCTCACCAAGTGATCCACCTGCCCCATTAGCTCTCAGAGGACAGGGCAGTGAGACAAAAGACATGATAGAAGTACAGTGAACCCTCGCCACTTCGCGCTTCGACTTCCGCTGCTTCACACTATCGCGGTTTTTGCGTAACAGCGCATGCTCTGTCATTACTGCCACTGATTGGCTCATACTGTACACGCTTGATGCCATAAATAATATAATAAATACTAAATGGTAATTGTAACGTCCAAAATGTTTTACTGTATTTTCCCTTTTTCGTTTAATAAATTGGGTAATACGAGTGTAATGGTGACTAAAGGGTGTTTTTTCATGTCCTCTATGCTCTAACTACGAAAATATTTGATTTACAAATAAGGAATCCTACTTCGCGGAATTTCATTTATCACGGTAGGGTCTAGAACCGATTAACCACAATAAATGAGGGTTCACTGTATAACGAAAAATTTTATTTCTAGAAATAGAGGAAGGAAGGGCAGCAAAGGAGGAGAGGAAAGGATGAAAGTAATTGGCCAAACTGTCAAGATTCGATAAGGCAGAACAGTAGCTGCAGTGATTATAATATTTATCATTATTTTTTTACTATAGAGTGACTTTTTTTGGTGTAGTGATAGCATGAAAGTAGGTCCTTAATGGAAGCAGCTGTCTTCATCCTTTTCAAATTCAGATATTAAGCATATTAAGACAACACATGAAAGAAATAACACAATCAAGAAAGAAAAAACACACAACCCCCAAACGGATAAACACCTCACGGAGTCCTTAGTTCTCTTTCACCCTTTTACTTGATCCCCCACTCAGTCTCTCTCTCTCTCATGTTTTTTGGAGTGGGGTGGGGAGGTCGGGGAGCGGAATGGGGGAAGAAGAGAAAGGTCAATCAGAACTGTATCTCACAGATACTAAACAACAGCATCAAATGAACACAATGAAATAAGTGACATCAAAAACCGGCCCAAGGACTGTGGGACACATCAGGTAGTTGGTAGAGAGGTACACTTCTGATGCGGGGCAAGTGCGAGACTCATGAAATGATCCCCTCAGGGAAATGGTAACACAGATGAAACCGAGGCCGGGGTTTGGGGGAGGTTTTCAGCCTCCACCCGAAAGCCCCTGCTCTGCAACCGTGACGGCTTGGAGAAACTGATAGGGGAGATTTCCGGAGGCGAACTAGAAGCTGGGATCGACCTGGATCCTGGGAAGGATGAAGATGATCTTCTGCTTGGGCTGTCAGAAATTACTGACCGCTCAAGGTGGTAGTGGGGAAAAAAAAACAAAACAAACAAAAAAAATATATATGTATATATCTATCATCATTATTGATGCGTTATATACACATCTGTATGTGCATAGACACGCTTTTAAATGAATCTGCCAGGTGGAAATGTAAGTAGATATGGTCTTTAGGCAAAGTTCTTTGACACAAGATAGCAAAATCTTTAAAAATACTCATTTTTGTACATCATAATTCAATATCAAGGCATGCATAATGCATTTCATTTGTTTCACAGAGGGCTGGTTGAGTAGTTGGTAAATCATTGGTCTGCTAACCACAAGGTTGTGCGTTCAAACCAAACATCCAAAGGGAGAGAGATGAAGCAGTCTGCTCCCTTAGGTAAAGAGTTAGTCTCATAAGCTGAAAAGGGAGCTCCACACTGTCCTCTGGGCTCACTACAGATGAGAATCAACCGGGTGGTCGTGTTTTGGTTTTATTTGGGTTTTTTAAATTGTTTCACAGATAGTAAAACTTAAAACTTTATTTCATTCTGAGGGGTCAGGGGAGCTGTACTAATAACTTCCTAAATAAATAGTTGTAAATTACTTTTATGGAAATCCCCCCAACCCCTTTGTCCCTCCGCCAGCACAGGAGCGCACATTCTGGACACACTCGCAGATTTGAGAGGAGCCCTGGTGGTGAGGAGGTTATGCATGATCCCAAAGATCAGCAGTTCAAGACCTCCAGCCACTGCCCAGGACAAAGACTGACCCCTGGTGATCCCTGTTTCTTTAACCTTGCAGGGCTGGGGAGCTAAATCAGGAGAGTAACTTCCAAGACCTTACTGTCTTGTATCTGGTGAGTGGCCCAGAATCAGAGGTGACTCTGGTCCTAAGATCTGGGGAGCAAAAGGGCACTTACCATTGCTATTTCCCAAATATGAGACGTGTCTGCCTAGATTCATAATTGACCTTCACAAGCAAAATGAAATAAAGATGCCCATTCACCCGTGGTCAATAGATCACACCCTCTTAGAATAATGACTGTTTTATATACCCTTTGGTGGGAACCCTGGTTATGCTGTTAGGCATTGGGTTGCTGACCGGAGGACTGTCAGTTCAAACTCACTAGCTGCTCTGAAGGAAAAAGACGAGGCTCTCTGCTCTCATAAAAGATTTACAGTCTCAGAAACCCTACAAAGGGTTACTATGGGTTGGAATTGACCAGATGTCAGTGGGGTTTTTTATTTTGTTTGGCTTTCTCTTTTTTGGACTGATCATACTTTTTTGGACTGGTTATACTGTATCCAGTGAAAAAAAATCTAACCCATTCACTGCATCTATTTTAAAGTTGTCGTTTTATCAAAGTGATCAGTTTACATTCATGTTTTATGTTTATAGAACAGTTTTAAAGCAGTGTACATGTCTACTGTTTTTTCCCTGAATTTTTTTTTTTAGTAGATTCTTAGCTTGTGTCTTACGTGTCGGTTAAAATGTTTGAAAGCCTCCAAATATCTTGTATATACTCACAGTCAAACTACCAAACCTCAAACTAAATAACATGCACTAAAAGGATAATGAGACAGGATAATGAGATATGTGTGTGTATATCTATATATATACA